CTTTGCTCCAGGGTCGCTGTGGGAAAGGAGCTGGGGAAACAGATGTAGTGTGAGAGGGGACAGTGGCCTCCGGAGCGCATGACAGATCCAGCCCAGGCTGTGCCTCCATAGCCCCCAGACCCCAGCGCTGGCCTAGCCACCCGGCCACCCAGCGAAGGGCCTCAGACACCAGCTGGGCTGCAGGCTCCTCACTCAGCCACACCTCCCCCCTGGCCAAACGGGGTGACATCTCCCACCGAAGGCAAAGGGCACAGGGTCAGGCATGGCGCGCGGCGGAGGCCGGTCTGTCCAGCCTTTTCTGGTGAGTGGAAGGCCCAGCGGGGACATTAGTTTGCGAGATTAAAACCATTCGCTCACCGCGGTGGCTTCGCCCTCGAGTAAGAGGCTGGAATGGTGCTTCGTGGCCGACACGCCCCTCGCCGTCCACCCGTCCGAGCCCGGAGAGGCCGCCCTGCACCCCCGCTTGCCAAGCCGGCCTCTGTTCTCTCTCCCTTGTCTTTTCTGATGAAGGTCTTGGGGAGCAGGCTGCTGAAGGTGCCCCGTAGTCAGGGGTTCTCCAGAAATTATCGGGGCCGTGTAACCCCCATGAGGATGCTGAGGGCTCCGCTCTTGAGCTGTGACTTGAAGTTCCGAGCTTTGTGTCGCTCAAGAACGCCATCGGCTCAGGTCGGCCGTCTGCCCTGGACGACCAGAGACCTCTCTGCATTATCGAAGGGGATGCACACGCGGAGCAGGGGCCCAGTGCGTCTGAGAAGCACAAGGCCCGAGACCAGCGCACAGATCAATGATGGCTTTGGCCATCGGGGCGGACCGATCAAGGGGACACCTGCACCCCCTCCCGCCTCCCATGCACAGGGGCCGTGCCCTGACTCACGTGCCCTGACTCACGTGGGCACTGATCAAACGCTTTTATTTTCTGATTATCTCTCCGTTTGATGGATGGCAGATGCCAGCGCAGTCAAAACACAAACAGATTGGGTCGGAACGTTTCAAAGAAGAAACCAGCCGTTTCAGAGAGCGGAGGACACCGGCCCCTTCTGCCACCTGGCGAACAGTTTCACTGGGAGAAATGATTTTCCATAACCTTTTCGCTTTCTGTTGAAAGCAGGCTTCGCCAAGGAAGTTTGGCAGTGGCGGGGGTGGGGGGCGGGCTCCTAGTGCGGTCCCCCTCGACCTCTGCAGCTTTGATTGGCAGTTCGTCGTCGGGCTGGAAGGTGTGCCCGCGAGGTAGGAGGGAGCAGATCAAATGCCCTCGGACAGCTCTGTGTCCCCAAGGGCCCAGGCGGTGGGGGCGGGTGTGCAGTTAGAGAGGTCTTCACATAGAAAGTTAATTAGCTACTACGTAGCTTCGAGCACAGTTTACGTCGAGAAATGCATTCCCAAAAGCACATGGAGATCGAGGAAAAATGGCCGCCACAGGACGAGGGCCACCCAGGCCGGCTGGCCTTTCACCACTTGGGCCCAACTCAGTGCTGGGGTTGTGAGGCGCGGTGTGGGCCTTCCCTAGTGGGGTGTA